CCATTTTAATTATTTTCCAACCCTAAATAAATTTGCTTAGAAAATTGAAAAAATCTAATAATATGGGACAACAACAAAAAATCTAAAACATCTTATATATTGGAAGTTTGGAAAGGGAGTAACATTCAAATCACTTTCGGTGAACGTTAAAATAGTCTCTTATAGATATTAAACTTGTTATTTTTGTTTTTTGGTGGCGCTAATACTATCTCTAGTGATATTATTTGTCACGATTCTAGAAGTAGAAAATAAAAACCCGCAAAAAAAAGAAGAAATGACTAGTACATGTAAAAGAGAAATGTGGGTTTTTAATACTCTAAAATTGGACATAAAGGAACATATGGGTCATTCGGAATTCATGTGGATGTATGCGAGTGTGTCCTAGCAACCAAGCAAATGCAAAATCGAGAAGATATTGAAAGGATAAGCCAAAGTGAACATGGGACATGTCTTCAACTCTTAAGCTAATGTTAATAGTTTAGTTAATTTCCATTGGCAATGTCACATGTTTGATTGTACTATACACATGTGGTATGGCCTCTCTGGCCATGATTGTATAATAATGTGGACATTCATTAAAAAAAAATAGATTTCGAATCATTTGATTGAGTTTTTTTTTCTCTTTGATTCTTGTAATTGGGCCTGGGATTTCATAATAAAATCTCCAGGGTTCTAATAATTTAGCTACTATAATCGGATCTGCATTGATGGTTAGATTTGCTATAGAAATATAATCATCTACTTAATCAATAATTTCTTGCTAGACCAGTTGATCAAAGAAAGATGCTAGTATTAAGCTATTAATCAATGTTTGCCTACATTGCTAAATGTTAATTTCTGACTAAACCTACCACCTAAGATGAAATTGCCACGGGAACAATTGATATTAACTACTGAATAAAAAATGGAACTTATTGTTATCTTTGGTCAAACTTATATGGTAAACAAATTAGGATTTCTCGAAGTAATTTTTAAGTAGATATAGTAGTTAGAAGAAACCTTATCACAACACAAACAAAATTATTAACCTACCGACTATTTGCAATTGCAACCACGAAATCTACATGTGAGATTGTATGCATATTGTTTGCAATGACATTAACTAATATACTCATGTCCAAATCAAAATATAGACCCCTTCAAAAGTGAAATGGTCCAGAAAGAAAATGATCTTAATATTCAATTACTAAAAACAAACAATTGCGAGGTTTACGTACAATGTATGATATATTACGTATAAAATAGTTCGAAATCAGATTGTTTGAACACCTAAAGCTTCGGAAAGATTTTGAATTTGTAGGGAAACTTTAAAAAAAAATTCTCTATCTCGTCAAGCCATCCAAATTTAGAGTGACGTCTACTTGTACGAAAAAGTTTTGATGATCTCTTTGATGATTTAGAACATAGTTTGGAAATAAAACTTCATAAGTCATAACTTACACTTGGTTTAACTCTGAGAGAGAAGATAGAAGTTCCTGATGATCCAAATTTGTAAGTACTAACATTGAACTAGATTGATGAATGCGAGCTAATCATGTGTTCAACCAACCGGACTGAAAAATAATTTCCCTCATATATGGAGTATATGATATGCATGGGGGTATACATCAACGAATAGTATTCTAGTTAGCAAACACTGAATACTATTCGACCCAAAAAGAAAACATACATGATACGGATATGAAACATTTAAAAGTAATAAACTTTTGTTGTATTATAA